GAGGCTGGACCCTATCCAACAGTGGCGGCGCGGGCTGGATTCTATTTTGCCTTTTGGGGCTTACGGAGAGATGGCGGCGCCTGACAACACCCCGGAGAAACACCATGGGGGCGGCCATCTTGCAGGAAGTGCAGTTCCGTACGGCTGAGAGACTCGAGGAGCTAGCGTTAGTAGCCGCCTTTGGACGATCAACGAAGTTTGTAGGAGTGAAGACCCGTTATAAAGGCGGCTGTCAAAGACAGGGTGAAATCTGGAAAGGAGGTGGAGCGGGGATGGAGAATGAGTAAGGTTGTTCTGGGACCTGTCTGAGGGGCGGAGCCGCCGATGCTGAAGAGTCCAGCACTGTAAATACTTATGCCGGGGGCTGGGAATAGGCTGTTTCCAATTGCGAACCGAGGGGCGAGGCTTAAAAGGAATGCAAATATTTCCTTAGAAAACAAAGGGCAATTCCGAATAATTACATGGTGATATATAGTATTGCATCCTTTCAAGAGGGCAATTTAGAAATTATCTATACAATTTAAAATTTTCATTCTAATTGATGCAGAATTTCCAATGCTAGAAATTTTTGTTTGGTAATTTTTTTTAAACTAGCAATAACAGTGTACAATCAGCAGGTGAAGAGTTTGGTAAATTAAACATAGATCTTTTAAACAGAACAGTCTACAGCCTTTAAAAAGCCAATTATAGGGACTTCCTTTGTGGTCCAGTGGTGAAGACTATGCTTCCAATACAGCGCTGCGTGTTTGATCCCTGGACCAGGAACTACAGTCCCATATACCAAGTGGTGTGGTCAAATCGAAAATAATATAAATAAATAAACCAATTGTGGAATTACCTGTATTTTTTAAGTGACTTATTGAAAGGATGAAATATTGACTTCCAGAACAGCATTCATAATATGATCCTTAGTAATATGATTACTAAGCATTTAAAAAATTTGAAGGGATTAAGTAAAGCTGACAATTTTGATTATATCTGAGGTATGGACTTGGAGATAGAATCTTCACTAAACTCAAAGATTAACATAGCATCACAACATATTGCCTGCTCCAATCTGGAAGCTCCTCAAAGTGCACAACTCTAAAATGTAAGTCCTCTCCCTTCCAGACTGAATTTTCCCTTATTTTGTTTCTCATCTAGCAGTCACTACTACACAGTAAATCAAGAATGGAGATGAGTTAGCTGGATTTTAGGCTGAAGTGAAGGTCAGAGGATCAACCCAAAATATAACCTACATGTAACCATCACACTGGCCACTGATTCGTGTTAACACCATCTCAAAAATAACCCCAGAATCATTCCCTGTGCTTGCCCTCATTGCTTTACTCCATTTATATGAATTACTACTGAATTTGCCACCGCACCAGCCCCAGAAGTGAATGCCTCTCTAACCACCTCCTTTTTTCCCATACCGCAACCATCTTTGTTATTATACCCTCCACAAAACTCTGAATTAGTTTACTGACAACAGACTAAAGCAAGATCTCAAGAGAATGCTTTTAAGGCTATATACAGGCACACACTGAACAGATTCTCCATTATCTTCATTACTCCCTGCCTCCCACTTAATTCTTCCACTACTCTGCTCACCTCCAAGACCTTGTGGTCTCATAGGCTACCAAGAGTTTACGAATACTTTCCCTCCACTTAAGTCCTTGGCACACAGGAAGCAATGAGAGACTATTAGTTACTATGGCTGTTCCCTCATGAGTCATCTTAGATGTTACTTCTTTAGATAGCAGTCAGGGACACCCAGGCCAATCTCAAAAACAATAATACAACTATTAAATATAAAATTGCAACTACACTGTGGTACTAACAATAGAAAGTACAAAAGGCATCCAATAGAGAAAAAGAGACAACAGGTCAACACAAGGGATGACTGAAGATCATTATCTATCCAGACCATCATGCTGACTTGTCTGCCCTCCAAAAAGTACTATGAATTCCTCAGACAGAAACTCTGTAATATTTTTGTATCCCTAGTTCTCAGAACAAAAACTTGAATGGGTTTCAATAATGGACTATTAAATGCTAACAGGCTTCCCAGGAGGCGCTAGTGGTAAAGAACCCACCAGCCAATGTAGGACACCTTCAGTCCCTGGGTTGGGAAGATCCCCTGGGGAAGGAAATGGCAACCCACTCCAGTATTCTTGCCTGGAGAATCCCATGGACAGAGGAGCCTGGTGGACTACAGTCCACAGGGCTGCAAAGAGTCAGACACGACTGAAGGGACTTAGCACACATCCAGAAAAGCCTTTCCTTGGGGAAGGGAAATCTCCCTCATTGCTACCTTACTGTAAATTACTATTATTAATATTAGTTATTTCTCCTCATAGAATTTATCACTTTCCAACATTTTATAATCCATTCACTCTCTCTCCTTCACTAGATCATATGGTCCACTGTGAAGGCTGTTTCTTTGCCCATTCTGTTCACTGATGTTTCCTCACTGTGCAAAACAGTGACTTGCAGTGGTGGTGCTTTAAAATGTTTCTGGAAGAGTAAATGACCCAAACCCAGGATTGCTATTGCGTTCTGAGTTGGCCATAACATGGCAAATTTCCATTGCTTCTCCTATGAGTCAGACTCACTGTTTATAACTGGGATCTTCTATTCTCATGGTATTATGGGAAAGAACTCCAGATAAAGGAGAAAGCAAAGACCCCACTTCAAAGACAGTGGGAAGGAAAGAGGGAGAAAGAAGTCACCTGTCTCAAATCAGAGGATCACAGAGGAGCTGAGAGTTTTTTTAAACTTAGTTTTTGGCTGCACCGTGTGGCATGTGGGATCTTAGTTCTGAGACCAGGGATCGAACCCATGCCCCCTGCATTGGAAGCATGGAGTCTTAACTACTGGACACCCAGGGAAGTTCCAGGATATTTAAACGGCAGCTCTTCACAGGTGTCAGGCCTGTGGACAAATCTCAAGATTTAGCTCCAAGTCCTTCCAGAAAGATCTTACTGACTCCCTATATACTCCACCACTCTTAAAGACTAAGGCTTCTATTTCACATTTTGTTCTATTTATTTGAGCAATCATTTTCCTTTCCTGCTTTGTCCTCTTATAATGTTAAGTATCTCTGACACGTCAGACAGCCCACTCCTTAGAACCATCTTTCCCTCCAGTGATAGAATGAATTTTGATTAGCCCATGAGTTTATTCATTCACGTTTCAAATCTATATGTGATAAGGGTTTTGAGTGTTCCCCCCCACCCCGGCAGGGAAACAGAAAATGATGAAAACCAGCACTGTACTCTCTGGTAAAGGAAATGATGGTAGAGCACCCCACCCCAGTCTGACCATTTGGCTGTCTGTGCTGTCCAGTTTGATCTAGTGCCAGGAGCCACGTGACTGTTGAGCACTTGAAATGCTGCCACTGCAACTGAGAAACTGGTTTTTTTCATCTTACTGGTTTTCTGTTTTTTTAAACGTTGAAATTTAAGGAAATTCACTAAAATTAAGGAATGTATTATCTCCTTGGTGGAGATAACAAATAGTCATTTCAAAAATAATTTATTTGAAACAACAGATCCTCCTGAATAGCACAGGGCCCTACATTATCCTGGGATAAACCATAATGGATAAGAATATGAAAAAGTGTGTATATATATGTATACCTGAATCACTTTGCTATATAGCGGAAATGAACACAACATTGTACATCAAGAAAATAAATTTTTTAAAAATCTACTTGTGTTCTGTGGTGCTTAAATACCATTATTAAGTCCTTCCCCAATCCCCCAAATGAGGTGCTCCTTCAACAATAAATTGTCTTTGTCCCTTGAGCCAATTACTCCACATCTATTGCATTTATTAGAAACACTTATATCCTCTGACTAAATTAGCTTCATTGTAGAGATACACTGAGAAAGACACTTGAAGATAATCCTACCACCTCAATGGTATCTCCAGGAAACCATAGGTTTTCTTTGTTTTGATCACCACAATCTCAGCTTCGAGGATTGAACCAAGTACCAAGGGTATTTGCCAAATACTCTGTAATGAACAGACTGACTCAACCTAAGGTTGTTGCTTGCCAAGTCTCCCTTGGCAATATCAACTTTGCAAGGTTTAAAGGACGACATCCTGGTTTTGAATTCACCCTCCACCTTGACTGGGGGTAACTGAATTGATACCAACACACCCCATATGCCACCAACTCAGTATTAGCCCTCTTGTGCTTTTTCCACATACACATTATATGTTTAAAAATTCACCTCCTCATTTCCTCCACTTAGTTGAATTCAGGCTTCCTTCATTTGCTTTCCTGATGGCTCAGCAGGTAAAGAATCTCCCTGCAATATAGAAAACACAGGAGATGCGGGTTCCATTCCTGGGTTAGTAAGATCCCCTGGAGAAGGAAATGGCAACCCACTCCAGTATTCTTGCCTGGGAAATCCCATGGACAGAGGAACCTGGGGACAGTCCATGGGGTCACAAAGAGTCAGACACAACTAACCACGCACACCTTACCTTACCTTCCTTCATTTATTCGACACAGTAGAACAACTGAAGTGTATCGGTTGAGTTAACATCAGATTATTCCTCTGTACCAATGCATATATCTAACTGGATGAGGATATTATACCCTTCCACTCTCCGCATTCATACGATTTCTTACAGTGTATACTTCTCAGCCACCGTCTGAGCTAGAAATGTTTGCTCAACCCTTTTCCTCAGACAATGTGTTTTGTTTTTTCCTCCTAGTTTCCAGTGACATAAAATAAAACGTAATTGACCACTGAAGGCATGACCACATTCACTGAGTTCGTAAGGATCCTCTCCTGGGCCAGCCCTCTGTTGTCTCCAGTGGGTGGCCATCGGGTCACAGGCTGTCCCAATAACACCATGCTCCTGTTAGACAGGAGCCCACCGATGCCAACTGGTGACTGAGGGGCCAGAGGAGGCAGATGCATTGTCACTGTGTTCAGGTTTTTCTCCTGGAGGACGACACTGCTCTGGGGGGACTTCGCTGAGGGAGGGATTTCCTTAACTGAGTGAGTTTTCAGGTGTTTATTGAGGACCGACTTCCCTCTGAATGATTTCCCGCACTTGCTGCATCTGTAGGGTTTCTCCCCCGTGTGGATCCTCTGGTGTATCACGAGCTGTGGCTTCTCAATAAAGCCCTTCCCACAGTGGCTGCATTCAAAGGGCTTCTCTCCCGTGTGAGTCCTCTGGTGCTTGATAAGACCCATTTTCTGGGAAAGCGTCTTCCCACACTCACCACACACAAAGGGACTCATGCCAGTGTGAATCCGCTGGTGTGCCGTGAGACACGTCTTCTGGCTGAAGCCTTTCCCACACTCAGTGCATGTGTAAGGTTTCTCGCCCGTATGGATCCGCAGATGGACCATGAGGTTTCCCTTCTGGATAAAGCCCTTGCCACACTCACTGCAAATAAATGGTTTCTCTCCTGTGTGGGTTTTCTGGTGCACATTGAGACCTGATTTTTTGAGGAAGGCTTTGCCACATTCGGCGCACTCGTAAGGTTTGTCCCCCATGTGCATCCTCTGGTGCTCAGTGAGCTGGAACTTTCTGAAGAAGGCTTTCCCACAGAGGTCACATTGATGGGGCTTCTCTCCTGTGTGAAGATTCTGGTGATCAGCAAGCCAAGACTTCTTGACAAATGCTTTCCCACATTCACTGCACACATGAGGCTTCTTTCTTTGTTTAGTGTGCTGATGCTCCATGAGTTGGGACTTAGTGCTGAGGAGTTCAGGATGAAATGGTTCCCTGGCAGCATGGGGGCAGGATTTCCCACCTGCAGGAAGCTCAGCGGGGCTCTTTATTTCACAGTTTGGGCTCTCAGAGAGTAAACTTGAATTTGATGTCTCGCTTCTTCCATGTAAGTCAAACACATCGTGACTGTGCCTGAATAGAGTTCTACTCTGATGACCAGAACTGTCCAGTGGGTTCTGTTCAAGCCATTGTTCTAGTCTCTTCTCCACTCTCTTGTTTTGTAAGTGTTCCAGCAGGTGGCCATCCATTTTCCAGACTTCTAGGAAAGAAAAAAAGAATGAATTCTTCCATCTTTTAGATCTGGAAATAAAAGGTTTTGTTTTTTTTTTTTTGCCTTGTGGCATGTGAGATCTTGGGGCTTCCGTGATGGCTCAGATGGTAAAGAACCTGCCTGCAATGCAGGAGACGCCAGTGTGATCCCTGGGTTGGGAAGATCTAGAAAAGTGAATGGCAGCTAACTCCAGTATTCTTGCCAGGAGAATCCTATGGACAGAGGAGCCTGGCAGGCTGCAGTCCATAGGGTCACCAAGAGTAGGTCAGGACTGAGCAAGTAATACACATGTGGGATCTTAGTTCTCCAACCAGAGATCAAACCTGTACCTCTGCAGTGGAAGTGCACAGTCCTAATCCACGGACCACCAGGGGAGTCCCAGAATAAAGGTATTTTTTAAAATACTTCGATGTGAGGTGTCTTTTTAGTGATAAGCCTATGGTATGAGTGTAAATAAAACTCCATGTTTAATATTCTTCATACACTGGGGGGAAAAAAGAGTCATAATGAATAAAGACAGATTTGGCTACTTTCTAAATACTGTAAAATATGAGCAATGTCCTGTGAGCAGGAGACTGCAGGCTGCAGGGCCACCTCATTTACATTGTGATGGATGGACTCATTCAGTCCACAGATCCTGACTGATGACCACAGTGGACCAGGAATGGTGCTAATGTTGGGGAGTCACAAACGTACTCCTCAGGTGCACAGAGCCTATGCTGTAGTGGGGTCAAACCACTTCACAGGGCAGAGACAGAACACGAGGAAAGCAGCTGTAAGCTGTGAAAACTGGTGGTAAGGAGCGATGAAGAGGGAGAGGGGTAGAGGAAATCCAGGCTCAACTTGGAGAAAGAAAGGCCTCCCCGTGGATCCAGCATTGGGGTTGCCAGGAGGGGCAATGAAGAAAATGATACAGCGACTTCCCTGGTGATTTAGCAGTTAAGACACTGTGCCTCCAGTACAGGGGGCTCTGGTTCAATCCACAGTGTGTTAGTCGCTCAGTCGTGTCCATGACTCTTTGCGACCCCATGGACTGTAGCCCACCAGGCTTCTCTGTCCATAGAATTCTCCAGGCAAGAATACAGGAGTGGGTAGCCATTTCCTTCTCCAAGGGATCATTCCTACCCAGGGATCGAACCTGGGTCTCCAGCATCACAAGCAGATTCCTTACCATCTGAGTAAGATCCCATATGTCATATGGCAGAAAAAAAAATTTTTTAAGGAAAAAAAAAACAGAAAGAAAATGACACAGCAGAGAACTGCAACCACATCTAAGTTACATCTTACGTTCCAGAGAGCTGCTCCCTTTCCTAAGAGGAACTCCAGCTCACACTGGTCCATGACGCAATTTAATTCCAACACAGCCCTTTTCACCCCATGGTCATATTATTTATTTTAAATTTTGATTAAATTGATGTCTCATCCTCTTAGAACGAAAGCTTTCAGGCTATTTGTTTTCTCAGCTGCTGTAACATTCCAGTTTACAATAGATTATCAAAAAAATTCAGAGGAAGGAATCAAGGCAGCATTCCCACATATGAAACAGACTGGGAGGTTTAGGAATAAGACAGAAATCTCTGGGAATAAGATGATCTGTCATGACAATCAGAAAGAGAATTTTTATGTCATAACAGGGAACATGGTTACCTGGGATTTCATGTTATTAGGATATGAGGGGAAAGAAATGAAAGCCTTCAGGAATACAATGTTAAAGTCTACAATAAATGAGAAGGAAGTTCAAAACTAGTACATACACAAAGGAATTAACTGGAAGTAGCCAACAGTTAGGGCTTCCCGGGTGGCTTTAGCGGTAAAGAATCTGCCTGCCAATTCAGAAGATATATAAGTGACGCAGGTTCAATCCTTGGGTCGGGGAGAACGCTAGAGAAGTGAATGGCTAACTCCATCCAATATCTTGCCTGCGGGAACATAACATCAGGAGAGAGATGCACAGAGCCTCCACCCCCCTCGCAGCTGTGGCTCTTCTCTGACAGTGTCGTCTCCACGGCCTGCTCCCCTGGTCTCTCACTCACCTGAACGGGTTCGACAGTGGACTTCATCATCCATCGTCCATGGTTCTCCTTGATTCACTTTGGAGAGTACCTCTGGTGTGCTTGCTTGAAAACCTGTTCATGGGAAATGACAGACTATTTAGGCCCAGTGAGTTCGCCTTGGGGTCTGTGAACACGGCAGAACGCTACATGTGAAGCCAAAACAATTTCACAACCTACAGAGTCAAGGCTTTTCTCACAGGAGAAGGGAGAATACACCTACTTCTCTTGGGCCAGAGAGGACACCGAGCATCACAGACACTCCAGAGCTTTCAGAAGCTGAGAAAGGAAAGGCCACTGACTGGGAACCTGGTCAGTGACCCAGGCGGCCGTCCTCACCCGCAGACAGCAGGTTGCTGTGGTTCTCCAGCATCACGTCCCGGTACAGGGCCTTCTGAGCAGGAGCCAGGAGCTGCCACTCTTCCCACGTGAAGGCCACGGCCACGTCATCAAATGTGAGGGTTTCCTGTAATAAGAGAGGTGTCTCATGACGATGTCACCTTGATGATATGGAAGAAAAGTTAAAGGTGTTCTGCTCATTTCCACGTTACAGGCTGCACTGAGATACCCAGTAAGGCTTTTATTTTAGTGTATCATTAAAAAAGCAAATGCCGAATACAACATTCTCTAATTGTGCAGTCGGCCATCCATTCATTTATCCAATTGGAACTTTCCACAGTATGTAGAACTAAATCTTCTTGTTAACCTAGAAACACTACAACCTCATATACAAATTTATACTTTATGGAATAATGGAAGTGATTTTTCACAGGCCTCTAAAAATCCATTAAGGAACAAAGGAAAGAATAAAACAAATCAAAAAGTCACCTGGGCCTGGATCATTTTCTTCTGTTCTCTGAAAACACCTGGCAACCGGAAGGCTCTGTTGATGTGTCTCGTGGATCTGCTCTCAATTTCTGTTCTGAAACTTGTGTTCAATCAAGCATATCCCAAGAAAATGCTGCTACCAAATCCTGTAACTTCTTCCTCCTTCGACTGATTCTTTTGCTTCTGGGGACTCAGGACCTTGGGTGGAGGAGAAAATCCAAGCTGAGGGTACATTTCCTCTGGGCTTGGATGCTATTGCTGCTCCTGGGTGCTCATCTTAGCCCAAGACCCACAGCACTGCTGAGTGTCCCTTCATTTGCTGGCCCAGAAGAGTTAATACCTCTGGCCAAGAAGTCTAAGCTTCTCACTGTGCTGGTGATATATTCTTTTATTCTGTGAACCTGAAGTGGTGTGACTGTCAAAGGAGATGAGGGAATCAAGATCCATCCCAGGAGCAGGCCTCAGGGGGGCAAGAATCACAAGTGGCTCTGTTATACAAAAGAGACCACATGGGAGGAGAGGCGCTGGGCACTGTTTCCTTTAAATCATGGGCACTCTGAGACCTCGTCAAATGTTCTTATACGCCCTGTGAGTACACACACTCATTGTGAAAACCAATGCACTGGTCAAACCAGAAACACTTTCTTGTAAGTGATAATGTTAATATCTTAGGAGGTTTCAAATACATAAAAATTAAAATACAAAATAATCATACATAATTAAAGTTGAAGTGCTCTAAAACTACCATACTATGGCCACCTGATGAGAAGAGCTGACTCATTTGAAAAGACCCTAATGCTGAGAAAGATTGAGTGCAGGAGGAGAAGGGGATGACAGAGGATAAGATGGTTGGATGGCATCATCGACTCGACGGACATGGGTTTGGGTGGACTCCCGGAGTTGGTGATGGACAGGGAGGCCTGGTGTGCTGCGGTTCATGGGGTCACAAAGAGGCAGACACGACTGAGCAACTGAACTGAACTGAACTGAACTGAAAACTACTATATTGTCAGAAGAAAGCACAAAAGTACAAATTAACATAAGAATTTGACAAACAAAAATTATATATGTTATGTACTCTTCAGTGTCATAATGCACACTAACAATTCTCTTAAAGCACATAGATTGTGGCACTATCAGAAGAGGGAAATGTAATAACAAGAAACTCATACACAACAAGGTGTGATTCTGACACCAATTTGATACATAGTTCTCTTCTAACACATCATGAAGCAATTCTATAACACCAGCTGGATGTCCTACACTTCAGCTCAATTCTGCCGCTATGAACCTGAAGATAATACAAATTGCATGAGTTACAGATTCAGTCCTATGAGACTGGCCTCTACCCTCTGCTTCATGTGCAAACACAAGTTCAGGTTGTCACCTGTGCTTCTGAGCAACTGGCCACTGATCCGAGGTTCCAATGACCCCCTCCTTGGGCAGATTAATTTGCTAGAGCAGGGAATTCTCTGGTGGTCCAGTGATTATGGCTCCATGCTTCTACTGCAGGGGGCACGGGTTTGATCCCTGGTCGGGGAACTAAGATCCCAC